GGGGCTCCGGACGGGGTTGCCCTGGCTCCCGAGGGACGGGGCCTTTATCCCTTCCCTCCCCTCGTGCTCTGGGCGTAGCGAGGGATCCGGCCGGAGCCCCTTCGCCCGCCTCCCTGGCGGGGTCCCTGTCGGTGCGGTGCTCCTCCCGGCCGTGCTGCGGCCTTGCGGGGCCCCGCTCGCCTGCGGGAGCGATCCCCTCCTCCCCGTCGCATCCCCAGCGCAGTGCAAATGGAGAAGGAGTTTCTCCTTCATGCGGGGGATCGCTGATGGCTTCCTGGGGCAGAGCAGCGAAATGCCTTCCTTCTGTTGGAAGGGTGGAGGTGGATTTCCCTCCTGTTACAGATTTTCAGGTTTTCCAACCTTTAACCGTCCTACTTGATTAACTTCCCAGTCATTGATTTGGATGAATAGCTGCCAGAGGCTCACGTAGGAGATCTGCCAAGGCATGAACTTCATTAGTTAAAAAGTGTCAGATTCGTTATTTGGAAATAGTGTTTAAAAGAGCGTAGTATTTTCCTAGAAGCACCCGTGCTGTACGTGCTGATTTGGGTCTGCTCTGAGTCAGTAATCCAAAGGGTTCCAGCAGTAAACTGGCAGCTTGGAAGGTTATGGTTAGTACCTGTGATGCACGATCAAACGGCCTGTTTGTCTGCCTCATCGCTGTACAGACGCTTCAGCTAAGCAGGCTGATGCTCCATCACACTCTATTATTTTAGGTGGTGTGGCTTTAAAGTTTTTTACATGTCTTTGATGCACTGTTTTGGCAAATTCTCCAAGTTAAAAGACGCCCTGCTGTTTTAAAATGGGCAGTGAACACCTTTTCTTCAGATTTTGATGGGTAACGTGTATCTCTTGTTCTTTAGACACAGCACTATGAACCAGGAAAAGCTTGCCAAGCTTCAAGCGCAGGTCCGAATAGGAGGAAAGGTAAGGAAACCCTCGGAGATGTACTGTTTTCTGTAATTTACAGGCTGCAGGAGACACCTCGCTGAAGTCTGTTTTTCAAAACGTAGACTTGAGTTCATGGGAGGGGAAGAAACACCCAGTTCTGCGGCGTGAAAAGCGCAGTCTGTGTGTGACCTGGATTTAGTACTGCCCCCTGAAATGCAATTTTCTTTCAGCTCATAACTGCTGGATGAGTAGTTCCCAGTGTGTCAGCTTTCTATGTAATTCAGTGACTTGTTGTGACCTGTGGAAGCCCAGGCTCAGTGTACCTGTTGGTTATTCCAGTTCTGCCTTTCTCTTCTCCCTGTTGAGGAGTGCCTGCTTTTGTCCCAGCTCCAGGGCTTACCTGACTCTGCGCTGAGCTGTTGCTTTTCTCTGAGCCAGCAGGTAGCTAATATGACCCCAAAAAAAAGGCATATGGTTTGTTCAGCGCAGGCATTTGTCTTCTAACCATAGGTGGGGTTGTAAAAAAATTTGCAGAGTAGTAATTCCAAAATTGCTGTCAGTGGAACAATCTCAAAATGTTAATTACTGGGTTGTGAAAGCATGAGCTTTTTACATCACTGTATTTGTGCTTCATCTTGGAAAAAAATAAAGTTTCTGGGGAAACTATATATTCCTTGATAGTATTTTTATAATCTAGCTGGTGGAAAAATACTGCTGCTACTTGGGGTCTTTTTGATCTTTTACACTTAATTAAGACCTTAGCACCGAGAATGGCAGTTAAAGCTGTAGGTGAAGAGAGGCAGAAAAGCATTTTGATTACAGAGCTTTCTCATCGTTTACAGACTGGTTGCCTAACGACTTTTGGGAATTCAAGTGTTGTGAGACTTTGAGCAGAGCTGACTGCTGTGTCTTGGATCTTTTCCAGGGAACAGCTCGCAGAAAGAAGAAGGTGGTGCACAGAACGGCAACAGCTGATGACAAAAAACTTCAGAGTTCCCTCAAAAAACTGGCAGTAAATAACATTGCTGGCATTGAAGAGGTATGGTGGTAAAATGAGCGTTTCCTGTATGAAACTAAATTCACTGGTGTTTTTTTTTTTAACAACAGGTTTCTCTTCCCCCAAAAAACTTACAGGGCTGGTAACTGATCAGGTTATTTGGCTGTAGTCTCCTGTACATCAATGCACACAATACCTAGAGGCAGAAGGGAGAAGGCTCTTCTGGCCGGACAGTGACTGTAGAAAGCAGTAAGGTGTTGGTGATGTGTGTCTTGGATTCATAGCAATCCCAAATTTCTCTTCATTCTTGTGATGGGACTTGATGGAACTTTTCACCTGCTGTGAAAAGCAGTGAGTGAACTGTGCTGTGCACACACAGCTGAAAAAAGGGTTGTGTGGTGCGGGTGCAGAATATAAAGAAACCCTTAAAAATCCCTGCAGTAAGATCTTGAGAGTCGGTCTGATCAAAATTATGTCCTTTTACTGCAGGAAAATTACCACAATAGATTGTGGTAGTGACAGGAGGTGACATTTTTTTACAACACAAAGACTCTGTAGGAGCAGCTTCTGTGAACATAAGTAGGAATATGAAGGTTTTAGATATTCCTCAAATATGTCTATTTTACATGTGTAAGAGATGAACTGAAACACTGACATCTTCCGTAACACTGTAGAAAGTGATGCTTAGATGTGAGAGGAAGAGGAGGTGGTCCTTCATCATGAGCTTAGTATTACTGTAGTACTTGATTACAGCAGCATAACATTTAATCTGTGATTAATGAATTGAAGCAGCGTTGCAGGGTGCCTCCAGAGGTCACTCGGTGCATACCTCCCTTCCAAAGGCAAATCACATTCAGCGTAGAAGCCTGGTTTCCTTCTAAGTTTTCATACCTCTGCTGCAGAAACAATTCGATTGTGCCATTTCCTTAAGCTTCAGGACACTGTTGTGGTGTGGTGGTTTGTTTTAGGGTTTTTTTGCTCCTCGCAGAGCATAAGAACAAGATTTTAAACGTCCTGATGTGAAGGAAGATTGTGCAACGTGCATCTGCCTTGGTAGCTAGGTGCATGGTTCCAGCATGTTGTGTTCAGGTGGACACAAGTTGACCTTGGTAAACTCTGTGTAGGTCGAAGGGTTTGGAGAGGCTGGTGATGTCCAGCCAAGCATTAGTAGCTTGTATGTGTGTATGGATCTTTTTACAAGAGGCTTTTAAGTAAGAGGATGACCGTGCTTGAAGCCTTTGCCATTTCTGTGTGTGCAGGGGACAGGACATCCTTTAGTTCTGCAGGAAAGCAACACACCTGATTTTCCTGTTCACAGCATAATTTAAACTCTGCTGCTGTGTGAAGATGGGTAGCTTGCCTGTTTGTATATTTTAGATCTCTCCTTCAGTTCCCAAATCTCTGTCTCCCTGTAATGTCTAAAAACAATGCATAGGAGTATTACTATGGTTTGGTTGGATGGGTAGAACTCTTCCTTTTTTTCAGACAAAATTATTTTCCATGTAACTGTAGTTTATCCATGCCCAGAAGAAAAGTGTGTAACTGTCCATTCTATCTCCTTTTAATTTAAAAACCCCCTAAAATAGACCTATACAAATATATTGGTATAAACTTTTACAGTAAGAGCTAAGCAGGTTGCTGCAGTGGCTGTAAAGCTTCATCCTTGGTGATTCAGAAGAGCAGGGAAGAGGAGGAGAGCAGCATTGCAGCTCGGTCTTAAGAGAGCTGTCATGGAATTGCTGGGAGGCGCAGAAGCCTGCCCTAGTGCCGTCGGTACACGCACCTCCAGTTCCGTGTGCGTATGTACAGGGAGCATCCTTGCCGTGGGCAGCTTTAGCAAGTAGGCCAGAGCGTGCATCTCGTGCCTTTGCCAACTCTGCTGCAGAAACAGTGACGTTCTCCTGACAGGTGACACAGATAGCAGCTCATGGCAGTGTCTTAAACTGGTGTGGCACGGCGTTCTGTTGGAGCTTTTAGTCTGTGAAGAGTTAGCACAGGGCTGAAGGTTTAGGGTTGCTTTTCCCCCTAGATATTCCTGATACTAACTCAATTACACTTTGCAGTCTAATAACCTATGTATGGTTTTTGCCTTTTGTTAAAAATATACACAAACTGTGTAGTAACACACTTAACATATATAACACATATACACATAATAACACATACAATCCTTGCGTATTTATTGCATAGTATGTGGATAAGTGTTTTATGAAGGAACATAGCTCTTAAATCCTACCTCTTCATATAGTACATAAGAACCCATATTTTGTCATTAACTCATTTTACTTCCAGTTTAGGTGGTGGTAATTCCAGATGTTTTTATCCTGGTTATATTACTCTCTAGGAAGAGTGCGAACTTTGCAATCCTTTTTTTTGGTTGTATTTTAATATTCTAGACTTGAATTAATAATTTATCATGCTTGTTCAACAAAGTGCTGCAACATTTTGGTAAATGTCATTAATCTGTTTGAACAGGTGAACATGATAAAAGATGATGGAACAGTTATTCACTTCAACAACCCCAAGGTTCAAGCTTCCCTCTCTGCTAACACTTTTGCAATTACTGGTCATGCAGAGGCTAAACCGATCACAGAAATGCTTCCAGGCATCTTAAGCCAGCTTGGTGCTGACAGCTTAACAAGTCTCAGGAAGTTAGCCGAACAGTTCCCAAGACAAGGTAGGTCCCTTTGGAGCCGTTTTAAAGAACATATGATATGTGAAAAGTTTATGCTCAAATTTAACAGTGGCATGTGTGACTGTGGTCAGCAGCATATGTGCTTTTATTTATTTGCCACTGCTGTGGAAATGTAGAGGGGGGAACATTGATTTTTGTTCTTGTTGATTCAAGGTTCTCTCGAGGCAGGCCCTCATTTTAAAAAAAATCAATTTCTTTTCGTGTAGTCAGGCATGCTTTGGTTCTCGGTGTACAGCTGTGTGTGTCAAAATACTTAGGAAAGCAAATTCACGTTTTCACTTGGAAAAACTCAACAGGTTCTTTTTGTCAGGGAGCTGATTCTGTTTTCCTTGTTCATACAAAACATTTCTATTGTGGATATAGAGAAAGAAATATGTTCTTTATCTTCTATTCTCATTCTCTTTGGAATTAAACCAAGACTTCTAAAAAATTAATTCAAAATCAGAGATTAGATTTAGAAAAAAGTTCCAGTTTAGACTGTTACGGCCATTAAAGACTGCAGTTGGCCATGTGGCAAGTGTCTGTATTTGGAACTGGAAAATAGACTACCTGTTCTAACATTATCAACCAATAGTTATTCCTTCTAAATCAATTTTGATTTCTTCTGTATGTCACATTCAGAGGTAAATCGGAAATGGTTAGTTTTTCCTTCTTCATTAAAACATCTTTTAAAATTTAGAGATGGATCGTCATAAGCATATCTTTCATACAACCTCTGTACCAATAGATACTTAAAATGGTTTTTTAGATAGTACAGGAAGTCAGACCAACAAGAAGAAATACTTTTAAGGTCTCACATTTCTCTAGATTACTTGCAGCACGTTTCAAGTTCTGTGACTCACAGAACACTAGGTTTGAATCAGGACCCTTGGTATGAAACTACTTTTTCTGACAGCTGTGGCCCCTTGGCAATTGAATGAAGCTGTGTTGGTCCCGGCTTGGTACCACGTTGTTGTTGCATTGGAGCATATTGACTTCAGTTACGAGATTGAGTCACGCTGGGTTTGTCCTGTATCGTTTGATCTTTGGATAGCTCTGCCTTAATACCCCATAGTGTTTGAAAATGGGTGTGCTAATACCTTGGTATAAGAATGGTCACAAGTAGGCTTTCTGGTCATGCTGATTGCTGTTGATACCCCGTCACTTGTGTTTGTCACTGTTGGGGAAATACTTGCTTTTTTTCGTCTGTATGTTACGGCTTCTGTTTTATTATGTGTTTGTCCCTAATTCTGTATCATGAGAACTCAGCACCAAATGTCTTTTTATAGTGTTGGATAGTAAAGCACCAAAATCTGAAGATATTGATGAAGAAGATGATGATGTCCCAGGTAGGCACGCGCTTTTGTATCCATTCAGTGTGCAAATATTTCAATTTAGGCATTTAAATATTTAGCTCTTGATGCGAGTATATGTCTCGCTAACGGAGCCTTTGTATGCTAGCAGCGTTAAAACATTGATGGCTTTGGATTCCAGCTTTGGAAAAAAGGCTTACTGTGTGCAAATTGGTTAATTCTTCAGTGAAAATGGATTAAAATACTTTGCTGGAGGTTGAACAGGTGACCTAAATGTCAAAATAGGGGTTTAGGGCTGCAAAATGTCATGATTGACCTAGTTATAAGGTTGTCTTGAAATCAGGGTCTAAGGTGGGGTTTTTTATTTCTGTAGTAGAAGAAACAAAGTTTGTGCCAGTGTCTGAAGGTTTCTCAATAAATAAATATTTAAGTTCTTCACCTGACCATCACTACCTACCAGTTTCACCAGTTTCCTACCAGTATCCACCAGTTTCAGCTAAAACAACAGACTGATGGACGGAGAGGTTCAATTCTTCATACTCTGGCACTGATTTATTTCACTGACCTTGCATAAAATTTTAGTTCTCTACAAAATTTTTTGTTCCCTGGAGTGTGACAGTTAATGGCTGCCTAATTTCAGGCATTCTTTAAAGGATGCTGACGGCTCTACTGCAGCTGGTAGAGCACCTCTGAAAATCAGATCTTAATCACTTGGTGTTAGAACTTCCACTCTTCTGAGTGCTCCTGCATTTCTAGTTCTTTGTATGTTCAAACCAACCTCTTTTTCTAAAGCCTTTTGAAATCTGCCCATAGTAAACGGTGTACACGAGTCTAGTTAAGAACTACTTAACCTTTCCTATAATACCTGTGGTTTCATTAAACTTACGAAGGTGCTGGTACCGGGTGTTACTGTATTAAATGTCTTCGTCTCTTTCAGATCTCGTAGAAAACTTTGATGAAGCATCAAAGAATGAAGCTAACTAAACCATTAATAGTTCTGGAAGCTGGCATGGACTAGATTTAAGAAATCAGCTATGTGGTTCCAAAGTTTTAAAGAAACAGAGAACATCATCTGTTAATAGTTCAGTAATATAAATATTTTGTATTTTTATGATGCTGTTTGTTCAGCATTTTCTGTCAGTTGATTTTGCATTTTGCACTTACTCCCAGGATCTACTCTTTTTGGTCAAAAAGAAACGTCAGTGCAGTTTGAGGGGTGCGTGCATGTGCGTGTGTGTATGTGTGTGGGTGTACATATAGTGGAGAACAAATTGGAGGTCGCTTATTTAACCTTCTCCCTTTTTCATTTGGAAGTAGAAATAAAAGGCATCTTCAGCGTTGTTACTTTTGATTATCACCGAATAGTGGCACCACTGAAGGTAGTTGAGATTAAAACTTTGTCCACGTTTTGTGACCTGGAGGCGTTACACCATTAAAACTTGGGTTTAATTTGCTGTTAACTGTTGTACTCGCAGATGTGTTCCTTAGCCCTGTTGAAATGTACCCGGGATGTTTGTTACCAACCTTACATTGATCCCAGAGGATACTGAAGACTAGCTGATCTGCTGGCTTCTTTGGTACTGTAACTTTTTAAAGAAGAAAACTTGGTCTCAGAAGTGTGCTTTTTTTTTTTCTTTTAACTTTTCTCTTTTTTTTCTTGTCTCTCTAAGCTTTTGAGACAAGCTGATGTTTGACTCCTTCCGTGTAGGCTTAGCAGTATCTTCTCCTGTTGATTACATAGAGTATTTCCCGTGTCAAAAGGAAAACAAACACCATAGCTCTCTATCATCAGGTCGCTTCCTGAACTTGGAGGTCGAGTTGGTAACAGTCTGGTGCACCAGTTTTGCACAGTAACAGATTTTTGCTTGAAAAACTTCAAGCTGCTCTCTTGGCATGACGACATTTACTAGCAGGTGATGCTCCGCTGTCATTCTTGCAGCACTAGGGATTAAATGCACCGTGTGAGCAGTGTTTAAGGTGGAAAAGAGGAGGAAAGAGTTGTTGACATTTTGCCTTGCTTCCTGCTGGGCAGTTTGTGCAATAACTAGTTCTAAGGGGATGTTTGGTTGTTTTTTTTTTGTTTTGCCTGTAACTTACCTTTTGCCTATAACCTACCTCTAGGTTCGGTGTCATCTATGTAGTAGCTTCTTAGAATCCACAAATGCTCCTCAGGCATAAGGAGATCACTGGGAGGTACTGTTGGTACAGTGCAGTATTTATGACCTTTCTTTCAAATGCTTAATGTGAACCTGTTTTCTCGGAGGCTCTTTGGAGGTTCTTGATGTCATGTGCATTATGGTATAGTTAGACACCATCATAACCTGTGTCAAGGGCAGCTGTGGCTGAAGAAAGCCGTTTTTCTTCTACATCTGTCACTTAACTATGGCTTAATTGGAACATATCAGCTTTTTATGTAGGTTCATACGCTACAACAGTGTAAACAGTACATGAGTTCTGGTGATAGGAAACCACGAAAGCAGAGCGGTAGTGGTTCGTTCCCTGAACTCCTCCGTTTATTTTATCGGCTTTGTTCAGTTCTCCTGTTTATATTTTATATACTACGTGGATCTTACTACAAAATAAAATCGCAGTAAAAGAGGAAGCACTCCCTCTTGTGTGTTGTCTCCTCCCACCAGCACTAGCTGAGGAACGGCAGGTGGATGCAGGGGCTGTTTCGGACAGCACCACATCCCTGCAGCACTGGCTGAGGAAGGTGCATGCAGGCCTAGGGAGGATCCTGTTAGAGCTTTAGGATTTCACTCCCGTATAAACGCTCTTCTGTTTTCCCTGCAGTGTTGAATGAAACTTTGGTTACTGTGTGAATGGCGAATCCTAAGTCAGCCCCCTGCCCGGTTTATAAGGAAGAGATTTCTTCGTTAACATGCGCACAGGCACACAATTGCCTCTTGCTGCCTCTGCGAGCTCAGAGAGGTGAAGGATACTAGTAAACATGTATTAGCAGTGTTCTGTTTGCTTAAGGGGCCTGAGTGAAGAACACTTCTAAGTAGTGACTGTACTGAGTTTATGTATGGGACATGCCCTCCCCCTAAATACTGATCAGCCACTGAAAACTCGTGCTCATTGGTTTCTGATGTAGGAAGTATGTCTAACTCTGAGACAGATTAAGAGCAAGCATTGGAAACAATGATGACATGTTTATACAGTTGAACTTTCTGATTCCTACTAAATACTCATTTAATTTTTGCTCTTGGTCATGACAAGTTACGTGTTAAACCCTCACTTTTTCCTGTGTTTGACAACCAGTAAACTAACGAAATATGCTAGCTTATGTAGTTATATTATCTTCAGTTTTTTCACTGTATCTGAAAACAGTCAACCACTTATGATTTGCTGCTGGAAATACGAGAGCTTATCAACCATTAAACTGATTTTAATTAAAAGTAACCCATCAAGGCTGTTGTGGGGAAAGCTATTTTTCTTCTTCATATTTATTGATGGTATGACTCAAGCAATGTTTTTACATGCTGATGGACATGCAGAGTTACCAAGAGTAGTTTTGGGGAGCATTACGGTAAAAATCCCCATGTGAAGGTGAACATTACTATGTCCTTTGCTTGGCTTGAAGCATGGTCTCCACTCTACTTCTGAAGCCCTTGAGCTTGCTTGCTACTTAAACAAGTAGTAAAGGTATTGACATGTTAAAGATCTTGGCAGTGATTGGGAACTGGGGAGATAGAGTAGCCTGTAGAGTGAATGTTTCCTGGATTGCCTGAGAGAGAACCCCGGCTGCATCAGTGCAGACTGAAAGAATCGAGAACTTGGCAGATGTGTGAGACTGCAAATGCTTGTTTTCCTGCCATGGCTGCTAGTAGGTTTGCGTAGTTCCCTAGTTTATGGGTGAGAGACCTGGGGCTGTCTGGCTTCTCTCGGGCAGGAGAGCAAGTCTGTAAAGAAAAAATGCAGTTGCTGAGCATTTGCTCTGTGGAAAAAAACTTCACTCACGTATGATGGATGGCAGAGACCACACTACAGTGGTGATGCTGGACCCGTGGTGCTGAGTGCTGGGAAGGGATTTCTCATGCAGCGCTTGGTAACAAAATAAACGCAGCTAAGAGTGTTGGTGGGGTGGAAGGAGTTAATGCAAAAAGAACACAACATACCTTACAGACCTTGAAAGAAAACAGGGTCCAGGTGAAGGTTTTTCTTTCTGACTTTTGTTGGAATATTTGAAGAGGGCACAGGAATGATAAGGGTGGATTTAGAACTGCTACTGAAGTGTTACTGAAATGTGTTGGTAATTCACTAGTCTTTGTCAACTTTCCACGGAATCTAGGAGTTGCTATGAACTCCTGCCAGGATCTTCACAAGTAACGTGTTGGATTTGATGTGTACAACATGAGCACTGAGGATCTTGCAGATGTTTTAATTCCTGAGCAATGTATTATTGATTGACCAGTGTATTGCTGTTAGCAGGAAGGAACTGAGGAAGTTAAAACAGCACGGTGTGTCTGCGCTGCATGTAAGAGATGAATTCCTGGCTCTACTGAGGAATGTCCCTGGAAGGATTCTCTTAAGTTTCCCTGGAATGCTCTGTTGCAGGCAGTAGGGATGTATGGAGGGGCTGCGCAAACTGCCCCGTAGGTGGAGGTAAGTGCATGAGTTCTTCCACCCGCACTCAGGTTTGTCTCCTGTACTGGGTTTGCAGGGCAAGGTTTCAGTGGTCAAGTGGGCTACAGGGGTAGTTCCTGTGAGAAGCTGCTGGAAGCTTCCCATACGTCCAACAGAGCCAATGCCAGCCGGCTCCAAGACAGACCCACCGCTGGCCAAGGCTGAGCCAATCACAGTCATGACACCTATGGAATAACATGTTGAAGAAGGGGGAAAAAAACCCCATGAGAGAGTAGATTTTGCAGACAGAATGAGGAAGATGTGAGGACAACTCTGCATGGATCCAGGTCAAGGAGAAGGGGGAGGAGGTGCTCTGGGTGCTGGAGCAGAGATTCCCTGGCAGCCTATAGTGTGCTCTGCAGGCTGTGCAGAGGCCTGCTGGGCTCTGCAGCCGTGGAGGGTCACAGGGGAACAGAGACCCACCAGCAGCCTGGGGAGGACCCCACACCAGGGCAGGGGGATGCCTGAAGGAGGCTGTGACCCCGTGGGCAGCCCAGACTGGAGCAGGCTCCAGGCAGGACTTGTGGCCCATGGAGAGAGGAGCCCAGGCTGGAGCAGGTTTGCTGTAGGACTGGGGACCCAGGCTGAAGCAGGCTGCTCCTGAAGGATGGCACCCTGCGGAGGGGACCCACGATGGAGCAGTTGGTGAAGAACTGCAGCCTGTGGGAAGGACTCATGTTGGAGAAGTTGGTGGAGGACTGTCTCCCATGGGAGGGACCCCACACTGGAGCAGGGGCAGAGTGTGAGGATCCTCCCCTGAGGAGGAAGGGGCAGCAGAGACGACCGTGTGATGGACTGACCACAACCCCCATTCCCTCTTCCCCTGCACCTCTCAGGGGAGGAGAAAGAGAAAAGGGGGAGTGAATTTGAGCCTGGAGGGATGGTGTTTTAAGATTTTAGTTCCCTTTTTACTCTGATGTTGACTGATAGTTTAATTTTGTTTTTCTCCAAGTCTAATCTGTTTTGCCAGTGATAATTGCTGAATGATCTCTCCTTGTCCTTATCTTGAGCCATGAGCTTTGTATCCTATTTGGTCTGCCCTGTCCAGCTGAGGACGGGAGTGATAGCGTAGCTTGCTGGGCACCTGCCTTCCAGCAAGGGGCAACCCACCACATCACTGAAGGCAATGCTGGCTTGATCAACAAAAGGAACAGACAGATTGTCCTGGAATCAAGATTATGCTAATTAAATGATCCATGTTTTGTGCTTGAGCAGATGAAATAATGCAGAGCATCACAGCAATAGCAACTTTACGGAAGCGACAGCAGAAGTAGAGGGAATGGTTATTCACGTTCAACTGTTTGCTTTCCCATCACGTGATTTTGTTGTTGTTGTTGTTAATTCCCCTCTCCATTCAAAGACCAGTTTGCAGACTGAAAAACTTCATGGGTTTCTTCAGACATGTGGGGCTGCAGTGTCAGTGAAGCATTCAGGTAGCCCAGCAGAGCAAGTGAAGAGACTAATTCTAAAATAGGTTGTCTTGGCATTTTGGGTGGGTGCTTGGGTTGATAGCTAGAGCAGGATTATTGGGAACTGGACTTTTATTTCAGGAGTATGGCTCTGTCCCCTATACGTATGTTATGTAAATGAATGAACACAAAACCTGGATGCTTACTGAGAGAAAAGGGCTACGTCTGTGCAAATGGTATAAAAAGCTACTTTACTTCCACATGAAGAACGCATGCTATTTGGTGAGCTGTCCCTCTTG